AGGGGAAGGGGAAGGGGAAGGGGAAGGGGAAGGGGAAGGGGAAGGTCCTCAGATCAGGAGAGAATGAAGCATACAGGGCTCATGGGAGGCGAGGAAAGAGGAGCAGCCCATCTATCCTGACCTGTAGACACGACCTCGGGGCCTGCTGTTAAAACCACTGTAGAATCGAGAGCGGGAACTGTTGTAGTTGGTGGTCCGGGCACGGTAGCGGGCACGTGGGAAACCTCGGTCTGTTGTGCTGATGCCTGGTCTATTAGTCCGTTTCGGGATCACCTGAGAGTAACATGTAACAGAGAGCCTTAGAGTAAGCCTGAAGAGCTCCTATGTTACTGGGATAAAAAGGACAGACCTTACCTTGATTTGTCTTCCTCTAAACAGGGACTCATCTAAGGCCAAGGAAGTCCTCACTGATTCTTTGTCTGAGAACTCTATATAAGCAAAACTGAAAAAAATAATTGTCATTCTAACTGTACCAATAGCTCACAGACTAAATGAAATCTATAGAATGCTTTGTTGAATACAACGTGTTTACATTTTTAATTGCTTAACTCACTTTAACATAAAACTTTTTAATCAGAATTTCTAGCTACTTTTAGAAAATTATAAAACACAAGGTCTGGCTTTCCATATGGCCATAATAAAAGCAGGGGCCAAAAAGGTGCCTGTCTCCTCCTAGTCCTCAATGCTCCCCATACTCAGCCTTTCATTTTATTGTCTGGCCTCAGTAGGCATTTATGTGCAACCTCCAATATATAGCAACCTTAATACCACATATTAGAAGGAAAAAACCACTTACTTTTAGAGCAAGTGACAAGCATAAGCTACTGCTAGAGTTAAGAGCTTAGTAGTAAACATGCTTAACATGCACTAATGCCCCAAATTTACACACAACCAACACAAAAACAAAAGCTGTAATAGTTATTTTTACCTTTTTTTTGGGATAAGGCTTCACATAAATGTCTAGGCTGGCCTTGAACTCACCTTATAGCTCAAGCTGGCCTCAAACTTGCAGTGATTCTCCTGCCTCAGTCTCCTGAGTGTGCTACCACACTTGTCTGTAACAGTTATTCTTGAAACTATTAACACAACTTAATTTAATTCCTACTTACCCTTTGGGATGGCCACTAAATTTGTCACAAAGTATGGTGACACGGTTAACTGAACCACAGCCATGAAAATGAGCTTCTAGCTCTTCTGCTGTTGCACCATAGTCCACCTGAGGAGAGACGTTTTACAGGTACTGACCAGGCTAGCTCCTGCCTCAGCAAGTGCCCTGCCTGACCTTTGGTTCTGGCCACCTCCAATGTATCAAGGCACAGCAAGTAATTCTTTAAACTTCCAATTCTAGAGCTTTTGTCCATAATCCCATCACATTTCCAACCCTTCCCACACCTATACTGGAAATGTTCAAAACTTTTTATTTTAGGGAAGTGTCTAAAGGGTGTTCAGGATCTCAATACTAGATCAGACTTGTAGTGATTCTCCTGTTTTCAGCCTCCCAAGAGCTGAGATTACAGATGTGCCCACCAAGCCCAGTCTCAATTGCTGTCTCAGTGTGCCTCGGGGGTGGGGCCGGCAGGCAGGGGATCCAACACCCCTGGCCCCTGGCCCCTGGCCCCTGGCCCCCAGCCCCTACCCCTGCTTGCAGGTACTTTAATCCCCTGAGCTATTTGGTCAGCCCTTTCTAAATTGTTAACTCCTCCAAACAAGAATATCCCCAACAAACCTCAACCAAATCCCTTGTACATACATTGCCAACATAGATGGAACGGGCATCGGCCTCCATTCTCTCTTCAATAGACATGATCACTGGGCCAGCTTTGAGGGAAAAAAATAAACATGTTTTCTTTCTTTCTTTTTTCTCTTTTAGTTTTTTTTTCCTCCCGGAACCGGGGATTGAACTCAGGCCCTTGTGCTTGCCAGGGAAGTGCTTATTCTACTGAGCCATCTCCCTGGCCCCCTCTCTTTTAGTTTTTGAGACAAGAGTCTGGCTATGTACTTCAGGCTGTCCCTGAACTTGTGATCATCTCACCTCAACCACCCCAGTGCTGAGATTACACCATGCCCCACAGAAACATGTTTTCTACTGGGCCAATGTATGTATTCCCACTACCATTTTACCATAAACTCAGTGAAGGCAAAGATTTTTGGTCTATCCTGTTCTATTTTCTGCTGTTTCCATTACCTAGAACACAGCCCAGTATGTTATAGTTTTTCACTGGATACGTGACACATTAAGCAGTAAATTAATACAACCTCAAAAATCACAAAGAGGTCGGGTGTGGTGGTACACACCAGTAATCCTAGCAGCTGGGAGGCTGAGGCAGGAGGATTACTGTAAGTTTGAAGCCAGCCTGCTACATAGAAACTCAAAGCCAGCCTAAACTACAGAAGACCCTGCCTCAAAAAATAAATGAACAAGCGATATGTTTATTTTAAAAAAATCACAAAGACCACAACAAAACTAAAAAGTCACAAGGAACAATATAGAATCTGCCTACCCCCAAACCAAATCCTTATTGAAATGCCTAGAAAAGTGAACAAAACTAAGGGTCTGAGACGCCACATTTTTAGATTAAAGAAACCTCGTGCAGCTAAGGAGTTTCCCTCAAAGTTGTAACTAAACAGCCTCCAACTGAAACCAAAAAAAAAAAAAAAAAATCAGACTTGAAGGTCAAATGGCAGATGGCAACCTCCACAAGAGTAGAGGCAGATTAAGAACAAAGAGAAACAGATTTTTAACAAGGACAAAGGGAGGCACGAGACTCCCACCACCGAAACACAGGTTCTATTTCGTCTGCTTTCACAAAGGTCAACGGAGCACACAATGGACTATGACCACAGCACCTGTCTAGTAATTGCTCAGAAAAGCAGCTCCGGGGTCCTAGGCGCCTAATGCCACATTCCCTGTGCTCCCCACAATCCTCCAACCTGAGGCCCGGGGAGCGTGCATGCCGCCGTTTTGCTCACCATTGCCCGGAGGTGGACTCATGTTCATCTGCTTCTCGACCTCGTTCTGCAGCTCCTTTAGCTTCTCAGCTTCTTCCTCCATCTCCCTGACTCGAGCTTTGATCGCTTCCAGCTCCTACAATGAATGGGGAGGGCATACAGAGGAGCCTCAGAGGAACCGACGCAGGGGTCGTCGCGTTCTGGGGCAGCGAGCGGCCCCAGACACGCTCGGCCATTTCCCTCGCCCAGCGAGAGGTACGCGATGAAAAGAAACCAAGTACCTCCTTCACAACGACGCTAGACAACCATGACGCCCGACTCCGCCGGCCTGGCCCAGTGTAGCGACCCCGGGCCCGGCCCCTGCCCGGCCCCAGCCACGTTATTCCCCGCCCCAGCCAAGCCCAACCCCCGCCGGCCTCCAGTACAAGCTCCGCGCCTCTCGTGACCCACCCGCCCGCCCTCCTTCCCTCACCGGGTCCTCAATGGCGCCGTCCCCCGGGTCACTCTCTACTAGCCCCGGCTCTTCCTCCTCTTCTTGGCTACCGGCGGCTCCGGAGCCAGGCCCAGGGCCAGGAGCTCCCGGGGGGGCGCGGGGCCGGGGCGGCTCCTCTTCGGGCTCGGGCTCCGGCTCGGGCTCCAGCAGCAGCTCCCCAGGCTCCAGTTCCTCAGACTCCACGCCGTTCCCGTAGTCCCCTGCGCCCCCCGGGGCCCCCTCCCCGGCCTCCCCACCGGCCCCGGGCACAAGATGGCGCCTCCGCCCCGGCCCGGAGCCCCGACCACCCGCAGCCCCTGCTGCTGCTGCCGCCGCCGCCGCCGCCGCCATCGCCGCTCAGACTGGGGCCCGCCGCTCCGCGATTGGAGAGCTGCTCCGGCCACGTCGAGGATTCATTAGTCAAGCAGGGTGCCCGTCACGCCGAGCTATAACTCCATTGGGGAGTATGACTTGGCAATCAAATAAGACCCCGCCTCTAAGGCGGGACACCACGCCAAATTCTCAAATCCCGGTAGGGGAAATCTGTCTGTCAATCAACATACGTCCCACCTCCTCTCGAGTTCTTAGGTAACAATACTGCTGCACAGTGACGACATTCCTACTTCTCCCCGTCCCTACGGGAGGGCTCACAAACTATAGGACGCTTGGTGATTGGCCCCTGACTTCGCAACTGGAAAGCTCCAGTCTTTTGGTCGCCTCACTGCAGTCTCCAATGGCGATTGGCTGGCGAGATTGGAAGGGCTGACACCCATTGGGTGACAGAAGGGAGCCTTGCCTCGGAACCGGCCGCCGGGCTTCAAATTAGGGAAACTCGAAGTCACGTGACCAGTCAGTCCTTGGGGGCCGCCATCTTGGCGCTGCTGCTGGCCAAGAGTGAGCCGTTGAGAGGGAGGCCCGTTACGGGGCGTTTGTGTGTGAGTGTGTGTGGCGCGCGCGCGTGTGTGTGTGTGTTTGAGTGTGTGTGGCGTGTGTGTGTGTGTGTGTGTGTGTGTGTGTGTGTGTGTGTGTATTTCCTGAAAACAGGTCTCATAACCGGGGAAACACCAGAAGGTGGGATGTTGCTGGAAATGGAGGTTCTGAATGAAGCACTCCAGGAAGGAGTTTAGTTTTCAAGAAAAGTTAATGGCACCCTCATCGACCAGGTCTGCCCAGTTATAAAAAGCAGAGAAGAGTTCTCACTCAGACCTATTAACCTACCAGTCCTGTTGTCCTTTCTGGTTTGCCTGTTTCTTCTTTTATCTGGACTATCACAGTTCCTCACCATCTAGATCACTGACCCTCCAGCCTGGACCGCTACCAGACTCCCCTTTCCTGACCAGATAAAGCTGAAAATGCCTCACTGCAGCATAAAACCCAGGACCTGGATACTTTATGAAAGTTTCAGGCCGAGCGTGGTGGCGCTTGCCTGTAATCCCAGATCTTGGGGGACTGTAAGCAGGTGGATCACTGCGAGTCCAATCTAGTAGTGAAACCCTGAACACCTTGTAGACAAAAAAAAAGTTTCCCCATTCCACCTCATAGGTATACCTGGCATGCAGACTGTGCCTCTACCTGTAATCTGTTTTCAGCCAGATCACTGCAAACACTCAACATCCCCTCCTGTGAAGCCTGCCACAGTGGGCCTACCTCCCCTGTGGTCCTAACCTTGTCTTTCCTAAGTACTGGTGAGGGGCTCAGTCGTACATTCCCACCATGTAACAGTATATCCAGCATATAACGCGCGACCCCTTTGGATCATTGTTGACTGAAAGATGCACTAACAGGAGATCTGCATGCTGCCAACCATCTTCAATTTCGCAGCCTCTTTCATCAGACCCTAGAGACCTTTTCTTGGCAAGTTTTCACATGGCTGCACCCTGAGGGGTCAGTAAGACTTAGCGCTGGGGAAGGCAGGGTGCCACATTATACCTTAGAAGTAAAGAGGTGCTAAATTTTCAAAAGGGATTTTTTTGGGTTGGCATACCACATGACAGACAGGTTTGAGAAATATTCACATGATCCCAAGCAAAATGTTAAACCACAGTTGGTGTGAGGGGATTTGGATGAAGAGGTCCCTATTAGCAAACCAGAGAACCCAAAGCACTTATACCCCACTCTTTCCCTCACCCCCACTTTTTCTCCCAGTTCCTTACCTGAGGAGATGAGGAACTTGGAACACAGTCATAGTCACTTGAAAGTTCCTTTGCAAGATTATCATCCATCTCAGTGTTGGTGACCTGGGAGTGCTACAAAGATGTGCACTGAAGACAAGCTCTGAGTTCCCTGGAAGAAAGGTCTATTTATATTGGTGTTGATCTAATTTATGCAGAATTTGAATAGGGCTGAGCTAGGTGTAGTTGCACACCCTTTTAATTCTTATATTCAACTGAGTCAGGAGCTGGGTGGGCATGGTAGCGTACACCTATAATCCCAGCAGTTGGGAGGCTGAGGCCAAAGGATTGCCACAAATTCGAGGCCAGCTTGGCCTACATAAATTCAGGCCAGTCAACTACATAGAGAGATCCTGTCTCAAAAAATAAAAAAGACTGAGTCAGGTTAGCCATGGTGGTGCTGCCTATAATCCCAACACTTCGGAGGCTGGGGCAGGAGGATTTCCGTGAGTTTTAGGCAAACCTGTACTATATAGCAAGGCCTTGTCTCAATAACAGTTTTTTGTTTTGAGCATTTTACTGGTACTTCATGTAAGGAAGTAAAAGGAAATTTTGTTTTGTTTTTTGAGACAGGGTTTTTCTATGTAGTTCAGGTTGGCCTTGATGGCAGTCCTCCTGCCTCAGTCTCCCAAATGCTAGAATTATGGGTATATGCTACCACACCTAGCTAAATCCTATTTTTGTTAAGCACACCATTTTGCAATAGGTTCTATTTCTTAAATTATCCCATTGAATTCTCACAACACTCAATCAAATACTTCCAAAACCCTAACATTCCCCCCTGCCCACCTCCCAGTACTGGGGAAGGAACCAGGACACTCACATTGAACTACATTATGATCCTTTAATTTTTTATTTTGAGATGGGGTTCTCCTAAGTAGCTAAGTACCCAGGCTGGGATCAAACTTGTGATCTCACTGCCTCAGCCTCCTAGAGTGTTGGGATTATAGGCATATAATACAATCACCCAGAGTCACAATTTTTTTAGGTATAAAGAAAAAGGGGGGGGGACTACCCGCTTGGGCCCACCTCCTGTCCCTCTCTTGGACAGGAGCTTTCTTTCTCTCAATAAATATATTCTTTTTTTTTTTTTTTTTCCAGTGTCAGCCATGTAGATGAGTCACAGCCATTGCTTGGCCAATGTGCTCTCTATGAAAGCCTGAGAGAGTGTTTTCTCTCCACGTGGCTCTCCTTAGGCACACTCTACATCATCGTTCACTTTCCTCTTTGTCAATAAATATATTGTAAAAAAAAGAAAGAAAGAAAAAGAAAAAGGATTAAAGAAGTGGAGCACTGTAACTTTCCCAAGTCTTGGAGCTAACTAGAAGTGTATAGGGACTTCAAAGCCAGTTTTGAAGACATAAAAATTCAGTATCTGCTTTAATATGAAAACATTGTAATACTGAAAAGAGGAAAAAACAAATTCAACAATAGACAAAAATGTAAACACTACAAATTATACCTAGTCAAAGATTATTTTGTGGATCTGTGAGATAGCTCAGTGGACTAAGCACCTGCTTTGGCAAGTACAGGGAACAGGGTTTGATTCCCAATCCCACATGCCCTACCAGCCCCGCCACCAAGACACATGCTTATAATCCCAGTACTAGGGAGGTTGAAAACAGGAGGATCTCTACAAGTCCAAGCTGTGTAGTGAGACCCTGAACCAAATACATAAATGCAAAAAAAAGTTATTTTGTAGCTAATAAAATGTTATGTAATAAATATGCAAAATGTCAAAAGAGTATAAAGTTTTATATAAAGTATGATTACAACTATGTTTAGCTGATTTAAAAAAAAACACCTGGGACATAAGGGGGAAAGGAACAAAAACCCAATACTATCTTTTTTAAGACAATGACCCAACATATAGCCCAGGCTGGTCTTCAACTCCTTTTGATCCTCTTGCTTCTCTGCCTCCTAAGGGCTGGAATTACAGGTATGTGCCACCATGCCCAACCCAATACTCTTTCTATTATTTGGTAACATGTACCAAAGCCAGGCCATCCTAATGCAGAATATTTGGTCTAAAAATAGAGTATTTTCATTGTTTTTAACATCTGCTTTGATAGTGTTACAGGCTATAATAATCTACATTTTGAAGGGCCAGCTAGGGGGCCGGGGAGATGGCTCAGTGGAATAAGCACTTCCCTGGCAAGTGCAAGAGCCTGAGTTCAATCCTCGTTTCTGCCAAAAAAAAAAAAGAATTGAAGGGCCAGCCAGATAGCTAAGCTGACTAAAGTGCCTGCTTAGTCAGAGTGCAATGGCCAGGGTTCATCCCCAGTATGCGTGCCAGCCACACCCCTGGGGCACACTGAGACAATTGAGACTGGGTGTGGTGGCCCGCGCCTGTAATCCCAGTGCTTGGGAGGCTGAAAACAGGAGGATCACTATCAATATCTAACCAGGACCGCTGCTCTCCGCCTCTGCCTGGCAGAGCACTGCCTCCTGCTTCCTGCCTCTGCCCCGTGACCCCACAAGTGAACAGTCAGCTTCCTCTGCAGGCCTCCAGGTCTCCTCCTGCAGGACTTGCACCTTTCCTTATGCCGTTTCCACACAGGTTACCCTTAACGCTTACAGTCCTAGCCGTAGAAGAGAAATGTTTGCAAATGGAACCAAGATTTTGAGGAACACTTATGTTTTGCAAAACACATTGTTTACGAGTAGAAGCGTTCAAGAGCCACCGCGTCACTGCGCTGTCTTCCACTTTAATGTGTGGGAATTTGAAATTTAAATGATCTCAGGGTTTGGTAATGGTAAGTATCAGTTATTAGTTTTGCTACAGTGGAGCAGGTTTCAGAAATGATGAATTTGTGCTAAAGGTTATTAATAAATCTAATTCTGGGAGATGTTAGAGTTTGACGTGTGAGGAGTCCAATCTACATAGGGAGACCTTGTAGACCCTGTACCAAATGCATAAAAAAAAATACAATTTGGATATATATTAATTTGATGGTGGTATTGGGGATAGAATTCTGGAGCTTTTCACTGAACTAGAGCTCTGCCCCTGTTTAACATAAATTCTCAGTCTAGATTCAAACTTGTGATCCTCTTGCCTCAAGTTCCCCAGTGGCTGAGATAACAGGAATGCACCACGCTGGTTTAGAAGTACATGGAATATGGTAGCCACTAGTTACAAGTGGCTATTGAATAGCCTGATTCTAAGTGTGCTGAAAGTGTATTACAGTGTAATAGAGACTGAACTTTGAAGGCTTAGTATGAAAATGAATGTGGAATAATTCAGCAAATGCTTATGGCCAGGCATGGAGGTGCATACTTATGATCTCATCCCTCTGGGAGGCTGTACAGATAGCAACTTCAGGCTCAGCCTGGTTAGTTTAACTACTTAGTGAAACCCTGTGTCAAACTAAACTTTGTTGTTTGGAGACAGGGTCTTGCTGTGTAGCTTAGGCTGGCCTTGAACTCACTGTGTGGCCCAGCCTGTCCTGGAACTCATGGCAGTCCTCCTGCTTCAGCTTCCCATATGCTGGGATTAGAGGCATGCACCACCATGCCTGCCTAATATTTACATAAATAAACTTTTAAAAAAAGTCATTGCTGTCAGTGTACCTCACAGCAATGACCCTGGGTTCAATCCTACCCCCCAAATGTTTAAAATTAATTACATGTTCAAGTGATAGTACCTTTTACCATACTGGGCTACACAACTACTAAAATTAGTTTTACCTGTACCTTTTGCTTTTTTGGGGAGGGGCTACTGGAGATCAAACGCAGGACCTTGCACTTGCCAGGCAGGTGCATAAGCCACTGAGCTATGTCCCCGGCCTCTTTTTGCATTTTTAATGAGATTACTAGAAAATATAAAACTACATATGTGGCTTACATTATTATTTTTTGTTTTTGTTTTTGAGGACCAAACCCAGGGCTTCCAGCTTGCTAGGCAAGCATTCTACCATTGAGCCAAATTCCCAGCCCCTTGCATTACATTTTTATTAGACAGCACTTTATAATTTATTGGAGCTTTTTCTTGTATTTAGGATAGGGTGTACAGGGTTTCCCTGCATAGATCAGACTGGTAGGGATCCTCCTGTTTACAGCCTCCCAAGTGCTGAGATTACAGGTGCCTGCCACCACACCCAGTCTCAATCGCCATCTCAGTATGCCTCAGGGGTAGGGCCAGCAAGACATATTGAAGCTTTTATCATTTAGCTTATTTGTCATTTATCATTTTGGAGCTTACATCTTTTGAAGGGAGTCATGTTTTTTATTTTATATTTACTTAATGTATTTGGTACAGGGTCTTGCTACGCAGCTTGGATGGTAGAGATTCTCCTGTTTCAGCATCCTTGGCACTGGTCTTATAGGTGTGCACCACCATGCCTGGTCTTGGTGGCCAGCTAGGCACAGGGCCAGCACTGCATGCAGTACCAAGGATTGAACCCAGATCCTTGCGCTTGCCAGGCAGGTGCTTAGACCCCTGAGCTATCAACCTGCCCTATGTTTTTTTATTTTTTATAGTCTATTAGTTTATGCTTACAGTACACAGTGACTTATATTCATCATGGGGAGTTGGCGTATGTCCATAACATATCTTAATTATTTTTATGTTGCCTTCCTCACTCCATCCCTTCCTGACATCTCAGGCTGCCTGGATCTCGCCATCGTCCTGCCTCAGCCTCCTGCATGGGGTCTACAGTCATGCACCACCATGCCCTGCCACTTACCTCTATTTTAGAGCAGATCAAAGTTCTCTCCTATTGTGGGTTGGCCCTGCTTACATCAAGTCCCCTTGTCTGCCATTGCATAGAAAGGCAGTGGCCATTTCAGTGCGGCCTGCTTAAGTGCTGAGCACTGCTCAGATGTTTAGTAACCAGTCTGATTGGTTAAGTTTTTAAAAATCTTTGCATCTAAAAGTCTTGTTTTAGTATATATTGTACCAGGTATCACCCCCAAAATCAGAAAATACAGCAGAAAAGAACAAAATAAAATTACTCATTACATCTACCATCAAGAAATAATTACTGATGAATGCTGACATTCATTTCTAGATGCTGATGCCTAGAAATGTTTAGTGTTCAAATCCATTGAGGCATATACACACATATTTTAGCAAATGGGATCATACTGTATATATTATTTTACACACTTTTTTTTGGCTTTTTGAGATAGGATCTTCCTATGCAGTTTAGGCTGGCCTTGAGCTCACTTTGTAGCCCAGTCTGGTCTCAAACTTGCAATGATCCTCCTGCCTCAGACTCCCAAGTGCTGGGATTACACATGTGTGCCACCACGCCTGACTTTAGTTTTTACTTTTTTGGGTACTGGGGACCTTGCACTTGCTAGACAGGTGCTTAACCTGCCAAGCTATCTCCCCAAACCCCTCAGCTATATATAATTATTAACATTTTCTTCTTTATCCAAGAAAATACAGAAACATCAATAAGTATATTTTTCCAATTTTATTTTTCATAGTTTTACTCAAAAGTCACCTTGAAAACGAGGGCTTCCCTGACCATTTTCTTTAAAAATAGTGTCTAGAGCCAGGTGTGGTGGCACACTCCCACAGTCCCAGCTCTCAGGAGGATCACCATGAGTTCAAGGACAGCCTAGACTTCACAGGGAGTTCAAAACCAGCTTGGGGGCTGGGGAGATAGCTCGGTAGAATAAACACTTGCCTGGCAGGCACAAGGTCCTGAGTTTAATCTACAGTACCGAGAAAAAAAAAAAAAAAAACCCAGGTTGGACTACATAGTGAAACCTTGTCTCAAAAAACAAAATAACCTTAAAATCCAACGATATATTTCTACCCTGCTTCAAATAATTTTCTTTATAGTACTCATCATTTTTGTTATGAAATTTATTGATTTATCCCTCACTACGATGTAAGGACTATGTGAGTGGGAATCTTTCTGTTTACTTCATTTTATTTATTTTTTGGTGGAACCAGGGATTGAACTCAGGCCCTTGCGCTTGCCAGGGAAGCACTTATTCCAGTGAGCCATCTCCCCAGCCCTTTTCTGTTTACTTCAATGCCTAGGATTGTACTGAGCACACAGAAGACACTTGAGTATTTGTTCCATGAGTCAATGATGGGTGAAAAACCAGTGACAGTATTCCATTACACAGTTTCCTAGTTGTGTTTTAAAATAATTTCTTTATGTAACTCTTCTAGAGCCATACTTTTGTTGGTCTTTTTTTTTTTTCCCCCGGTACTGGGGATTGAACTTAGGACCTTGTGCTTGCTAGGCAAACACTTGTCCTACTGAGTTATCTCCCCAGCCCTTGTTGGCCTTTTTGAGACAGGGTTTCATTATGCAGTCCAGGCTGGCCTTGAACTCATTCTGTAGGCCAGGCTGGCCTCAAACTTGAAGCAATCCTGCGGCCTAGCCTCCTAAGTGCTGGGATTACAGGCATGCACCACCACGCCTGAATATATATCCATACTTAAAGCAGTTTTCTTTGAAGTTTCAAAGAGGCTGTTTTTAAGTAAAAATAATATGTACAATCCATCCATTTGCTGTAATTTGTACCAAATGTCGCCCAACTTGACATGAAAAGTGCCATTTGGAGAAATAGCATTCATGGAGAACTATTTGAAGGGAACACCTCTGTCCCTCTGTCTAGTCTAAAGTTCAGTTTGGTATTAACCCAGACCATCGTAAAACAGCATCTTTGGGCTAAATTGTGTAAAGCCTCATAAAACAAGTAGGCCTTCAGAATCTCCATTCGGTATTTCTAGAGCGAACTGGCCAACATTACACTTACTGTAAAGTCAGTAGAGGATGCTGTCCATGCTCACTAGGTGGCTCCCCTGAAAACCCACTTTTTGCCTTCTTGAATAAATGAATTTAAAAATCCTGAGAGGAAGGGGAATCTTGTGTTTTCCAACTTGCTTTGGCTGCCAAGAAGCTCAGAGATAAATTCATAGACTAACTTTGGTATTAGAGATACCACATACTTATAGGATGCTTTCCCGTGCATTAATTTTCCTTTTAGTGTATCTTACTATATTTTGATAGTCCCTTTATCCTTTGAAAATCTGTATTTTTCTATTATTTTGTGTTTTGTGTATTATTGTAGGATAGTACAAATACTTTTTGGAACTAGCAAAATATAAATCATTCAGTTGCTTAGTCACAATGATATTAACTATTAAGAAATCTAAATCCATTTCTCCTAGTGCCTGTTCACCAAGCCATCTGATTTTCTTACAGCTTTCCCTGTAAATTCTTCCTACAGAGAAAATGGGAAAGTAACAAGGATTCAATTATTCTGAATTGCTGAAAGCAGTTATGTTCTTCACAAGTTGATACAAAAACCCTAATACCAATTTATTACACTGGACTATAGAAAAATTAGGAATTTCCTCTTGAAATTTAGAAACATGATCACTATTCCCATAACACATGACTTTGATGTGGTACAGAGGGATGAACTGAATAATCCTAAAGATTCTGTCTAGTTTAGCAGTTTGCATTAAAATGGTTGAATCCAAATGTCTTAGGGGATCAGGCAAGGAAACAGGGGCTCCATTTTTGCCAGACCTATTTTAAGTCTGAAGTAGGCATTAAAGAGAAATACTCATTATTGCACACTTCTGATTAGAGTCCAAACCGCAATTGGGGAGTTGATTTTACACAAATATCTTTGATAAGCTTTTTGTGTTTAGATGTGCGTGTGTCCCAAAGTACCATATACCTGCACCTTCTTCAGGTTCAAACTGGGACAGATGGAGTTCTTCACTTTGGATATCTGACAGGGTTGGGGTGAGGTGAGGAAGATGATAGATCAACTGATTTTTTTTTTTTTTTTGTACCAGGGATCAAACTCAGGACCTTGTGCTTGCCAGGCAGGCGCTTAAGCCACTGAGCTATCTCCCCAGCCCCCTTGATTTTTTAAAAAAATTCAACTCTTTCCCAAATCCCTGTAACTCGTACATCTTGCCCTTAGTGAAGTCATGAAGAAATGATTGGATGGAGGGAAGTTCTGACCCCGGACTATAAAGTACAGAAGTCACAAAACCCTGTTCAGTCCTTCTCATTAAACTTCTGGGCTTTATTTATTTTTAATACCACCATTACATATTACACAAAAATAAAAGTCAAATGAACTTGGTATTTATAAATTATTAAATAAAAATACAGGAATATATATTTATATTTATAGAGCTTTTTCTTTTCTCCTAAACTAACCAAATCTGTTCTCCTGCCGTTTTATGATTTAAAAAACTAAAATAGTGTATGTATGCCCTAGAATAAGTGGGGAGTAGGATTAATAATTGCAGGACCAAGTTGCCCTACTTCTGCTCCTTTCTTGGCCAAAGCAAAGTTCCTATTTGTCCCTTTGGGCTCCAGAGAGCAAGAAATACCCTCTCCACCTATTTACTCTTTGAAAAATGGGAATTACACTTATTTCCCTCATTTTAAAAAAATGAACTAGATTTAAAAATTGGGAGCCATACTCAGCCTTCTTGGCCAAGAGCTAATCCCAAGGAATTATATGGCTCTAGAAGAGAGTCCCTAGTTTTCCCTGACAGAAGTCTCTGGGGTTTCCATTGCCCCTCCAACTAAGGGCAGATCAACACTGCCCACTGTGATCCCATCCAAGCTATGCTTCTGGGAAACCAGACCAAGCCCTTTATCCTTTCAAAGAACAAACTTCTTCCACCCGGGTGTGAAGGCCTCAGAGCAGGGCATTTCAGTCACATCACCTGACCATGGTCCCTGCTGCCCGTTTGCTAAAGTCCCCCAGGAATGCTAACATTGACAGGCATCCTGTGGTAGAGGGTAGGATGAAGAGTCTGCCCCAAACCTGGGAGAGCACAGGCCCCAACTGGAAGTGATGGTCTGGTAAGTGGTTTTCCAACTTTTTTTTCAGCAGCAAACCCCATAATGCAAATAAAATCTTACCCTGAACCCCGATATATAAAACAGCAACATGGGGAGTTGTTCTGTTTGAGCACAAGTTCAGAGTCTGCTCAGCCCCCCCACCCCTTTCATTCCCCAAGGACTCCTGAGGCAACCCCTAGGATACTTTGGGGTTCTGCCAAGCAGTTTGAAAACCACTGGCCTAGCTTGTCCTGAGCAAGTCAGAGACCCCACCCCACCCCAACTGCTTGCCGCAGACTGGCTCTTGAGTTTCTGGTATCAGCGTACTCACCCAGTGGCACATGCAGTCTTTCACCTCCCCCATGAATACCATTAAAAAGTGCAGCCCTCTTTCAAAAGCAAAGGTCTGGACTAAACACCTGAGGCCAATTTGGTCCCACATTCTAGCATAGGTGTCTGTTGCCACATTCTGGGACCAAGGGAAAATCTCCAAGAAGTGTCAACTGTGGTCGAGCTAAGCTGATCATCGCTTAGAATTGCAGGCAGGGTTCTAGAGCACTGGAAATGAAGTCAGCATTGGAGAGCAGCAATTTTAGCACCTTGAAAAGTGCAGCAGTGAGTCTGGCTCAGGGCATGCATTTGGAGTGAATCATTTCTTCGGGAGAAAAGGATAGAGTCTGAATTTGTTCCACAGGACTGTGAGTTCTAAAGTTAGCATCCTCAGACTCTGAGGTACATATAACACCCATGCAAACAGCGTGGCTTCAAATGAATGAGAAATGCTTCTAGGTTATGGAAGGTACTCTAGAACCCATACACCTGGCCCCTCATAAAGCAGCACAGAAGCCCACCACACAGAATAGGCCAGTCCTGGAGTACCTGTTACCCTCACACCCATGGGGCTCAGAGCTGAAATGGTCCCCTCAAGACACCAAGAGTCTCACTGAGACATAGTGCAGAACCTGGACTGTTTTCTATGTCAGCATTTGTCTACATCCTCAAAAGGAAAATTTAAGCCCCAATTTAGAGTTTAAGTTTGCGTAAAGAGGTCCCAGAGGTAGGGAACACTTTAGGCACCATCTTGCCCCAGTGGGAGGCGAGGGGGGCAGGCAGGCCCAGCTCCACACCCTCCACCCACCGGCCTCAGCAGCCTTGCCCTTCTGGCAGAGCCCAGGTGGTAGCAGCAAGTGCAGGATGCACGAGGAAGGGGCTGATGAAGGAGCAAGGCCTGCTGCAGAGCTGCTCTTCTCGACAGAGCCTGGCCAAAGATTCTACAAAGAAGAGCCAGCATCCTCAGTCAGGATACAGTGTTTCTCCCTCAGCCTGGAGACATCAGAAGGGGAAAGGGAAAGGGAAGGAGGGGCCGGGAGGAGGGGCACAGAACTGTCCCTTGTTCTTGCCAACTGCAAGAGGGAATGTTTTCTCCTTGAAGATCCCACCACCACATCAAACAGCCTAGCATGCACATGAGCACGCGTGCACATGCACACGCGTGTCACACAGCCGGCAGCCATAGCACCACCCCAATCACCTGAGAGCCCCACGCTTCCACTTCAGAGATGAGCCCTCCAGGTTCCTCAAACTCCACTCATCCAATGGACACCCAGATTCTTAGGCAAGTCTACCTTCCTTGGGGCTATAAACTGTGTGTGACCTAAAGGGATGAACCCTCCCCCACCCCAAACCCTGGAAAGACTCTAGCCCCGCTCCCTTCCTAAAGCATTCCCCAGTGTCTCCAGCTCTCTTGCAACTCTGCCTGGCACACTCAGCTCCTTTACCCACCCTGCCCTGCTTCACATCTATCCATTCACCCCACTTCTTCTAAGGGCATTCTCTGTTCTGTTTCTATTCTCCCAGCCACACCTAGCTCCACCTGGCTTTGGACTTTTTCACTTGCTAGCAAAAAAGGCCCCTACAGTTACCAGGGCCCCCAGTGCCACGGCCCCTGTCAGCACTGTCCTCACTGATGCCCAGTTCCCCTCCCGCAGACGCCGAGCCTCCTCCAGGGCCCCGTCCCCGTATAGAGCTGTGAACTCCGCCTGTGGGAGAGAAGGGAAGTAGGAGAGAAAGAAGGAGAAAGGGATATCAGGAGAGGAAAGAGTGGAGAGAAGAGGAGAGGAAGAGTTCCAGTTCCATCCACTGTGAGCACTACCCCATCCCCAGCTTGTCTCTTTCCTTTAAGCTGACTGCAAACCCCTCCCTGCCCCAAGCACCTGCCCAGCTCTCTTGTGCTCTCTGCCCTAAGCAGAATCCATTCTTGCCTTGGCAAAAACCTCTACTCAGAACTGGCATTCTTTGCCAAGTCTTGCCTGACCGCCACCCATCTCTGAGCCTCCCCATATCTCATGCCACGTGCTCAGGTGTAACATCTTTGGACTACAGGCACTCCTTGGGTACCATGAGCCCATCCAGTGATTATGGCATGGCAGCCTGGAGTACAGAATCCAATGCGATGCTCACAGAGAGGGCATCTTAGTCTGACTCCAGCCCCCAGGCCTCCTTCCCAGCACAGCTGCCCCAGCCCCCATCTTCCCCCTGGAGATCAGCTTTGCAGAGGGCTGTGCAGAGCAGCAATTGAGAAGCTTCTTACCCAGCCCCCGCTGCTGTGGATCCAGTCGGCCAGGCGCGTCTCCAGGTAGGCCACCATCCACTCCTGCACTTGGCCCACCAGTGGTTCCATCTCTTTGTTGACACTCTCAGCACACAGGGCGGCCCCAAAGACAAAGAAGGCCACAAGACGGCCCCAATTGGGGCCCCCTTGGAAAAGTTCATCGGAGACCTGGGTGAAGCGTTGCTGGGCTGAACCGGGGGTCACATGCAGCTGAGCAGCCAGATCAGAGAAGGTGCGCCGGAATCGGGTCTCGAACTCATCTCCAGCTGCCCGCATGGCTTGGTGCAGTGGGTCAGCTGCTGGGCCCTCCCCAGGGCCAGCTCCACAGACATAACCCTTCTGCCTCAGCTTATAGCCTACAAAGTCAGCCACCAGAGCCCGTGTGTCTGGGGCTGAGGCTGGGGTCGCCATCCGGGCGGCTGTATGGGGCAAGGATGAGACTGACATGAATATAGGAGAGGTATGGACAGGGACCCAGAAGGGGTGTTTCCAGTCTGGCCACCCAAAAAGATGGTGTGGCAGGGTGGGGGTAGGGGTGTGTGTGCAGAGATTACTGATCAAGGAGAGGCAAGAACAAGATTTATGTCATAGTATGGGTCAGGGCATGAGGGGGTAGCCAATATATTTGGAATATTCCGAATTAGATGTAAAACAAAAACGTTTTATTTTTGAATATTTCTGATTATTTTCAAAAGACCAACACTACCAGCACTAAGCACTCTGACAGCCCACCTGAAACAGTGAGCACCTTTTTAGCTATAGGAAGGGGCTTAGGACCTCCCCAGAATCAAGAAGTGATGACGGGGAAGAGACAAGGCTGAAAAGAAGGGTGGGAGAATGCAAGGGCTTCCCAGGACAGAGAAAATAAGGGGACACTCACCCAGCCTGGACAGCAGCTCTTAGGACCCAGTGCTGGTGGCACGGAGCCCCCAGCTGGGGCCTTTCATCCTCTCGGCCAGCTTGGAGACCTGGAAAGGGGGAAGAGAGATCAGAACTGAACAGGGAAGGCTAGGGATCAGACTCTGGTCCGAGCAGCACAGGGGTTGCAGATCCCGGCACCCAGCCCCTGCCCCCAACGCTCTACCAGCTGTGTGGCCGATTCCATGTTTAATGACTGTCCTCCCGGGAAACCCCGGGCCAAGGGCTTCCTGCCGACACCATCCTATTCTCGGCTCCCCCCAGGGTAGCCCAAAGGCCCAGCTCTTCCTTTACCCCCACGTCTCCAACCCCGCCCGCCTGCCAGGTTAGGGATCTCACGGGTCAGGCCGCTGCCGGGATCCGGGCCGTTTCCTGGTGCAGGAGCTGGGAGGGTGGGAGGAAGGGAGGAAGGGAGGGAGGGAAGGAGGGAGGAGAAGGGGGGGAAGGAGGGAGGGCCCGGCGCTGGGTGATGATGGGGCCCGGAGATGCGTCCAGCGAGAGGGGCGGGGCTGGAACGCAGGCCCGGGAAGGGTCACAACTTGGACGGAGGCGACCGCCGAGCGCCGTAGGCAAGAAATGGCTGTGTGGACGGGGCACCCGGAGGCGCGCTGCTGAGCTCGCGGCTGCCCAGGAAACTGCACTGGGCCTCAGAACGTCTCGGAGCAAATTTGGCACTTCCGGAAGGGCTCTGATGTTCCAGGCACTTGTTGAACTTTTCCAGCCCTGGATTTGTTATTTGGAAATGTGGAGCAGTTCCCACAAAGCCAGGGACTGTCTTGCCCTGTGGGATAGCAGATGCCACCAGGACACCAGGTCTTTCTCATTCTTTTTTCCCCCCAGGGCCTGTAGTCTAGTAGTCTCTTCCTGGGTGGGGTCTTCCGTGGACACCAGGCAGCCAGGATTCATACTGCAAGAGGCCTCTGCAGGTACTTTTCTTCATCTTCTTTTGTAATCAGATTGATATTTTCTCTCTCTCTCTCTCTCTCTCTCTCTCTCTCTCTCTCTCTCTCTC